TGTGTGTGTACCCCCCACATCTTCTTTATCCTTTCCTCTGTTGATGGACGTTTAGGCTGCTTCCGTGTCTTGGCTGTTGTAAACAGTGTTGCAGTGAACACTGCAGTGCACACATCCTTTTGGACCATGTTTTTCTCCGGGCATCCTGTTCAAGACCTATTACGTGCGTGACTGCGTCTCCAAATTGCCATTGAGTATGTTTTGTGTTGTCAGGTTAAAGAAAACTACCCCTCATGGAATGTTGAGCTGAATTCATTATCCCACCCTTCCCTGGTTGGACCAAAAAATAACCAACGAACAATTTCACCTCTTCAGAGAGCGTTTATACTCCAGAAATGGGGTGAGGTGGGATTTCCTTCTTAAGCATGTTTCCAGAGCTACTGCGAAGCTTGAATTCCCCAAATAGTCGATAAAAACACTCCTCGGGATGTACAAGAAGGGAGACAGGGACCCGTGACTGATGGTATGTTCACGTCTTAACACTTGAGAGGTTTTTGGTTTTCGATGGGCTTCTCGGTTACCAGAGATGCACTCTCCGATTAGTTCACAATTTGATACTTTTCCTGGATGCGTCAGCTCTCTTTTCCGAAACAAGGGAGCTCAAGGAGAATGAGTTAAAATAGTTCAATGAAGCAGACTAAGGAGGTGACGTCAGTGATTGTCCTGGCTCACAAAAGGCAGTGCTTTCTCATGGCTTGTTCTCCAGACAGCAAAGCTTTCTTTGAGATAGTCATAACGGATTAATCACGGGTGTGATTCATGGCCTTTGAAATATGATACAGGACTTAACACATTCTTCCTCCTTTGGTTTTGATCTCTGGGTGTCGCGATTTTCCACATCAGTCCTGCTCAACGTCTGAGCTCCCCCGGCCGACCCCTTTCCTGTGGCCTTTGACGTCCAGCATCGATTCGGTCCTTAGACCTTCCTTCCCAGGGTCTGGAGCGCTTGCTTATGTTAGTGTTTTCTGCCCTGTGTTGGTTTGAGCCCTTGTTTCTGTCCAGTACAGGGACAGAACCTGCCGCCTTCTGTTCTCGGGCGGAAGAAATTCTTTTCGCGTCAACCTCCAGGATGAAGCTGACAGACGCGTTTGCTGGAATAAGAAGGTCGCTCCCCTGCTTCCGTGCTGGCCTTCGGGGGCCCCCACTGCCTCCAGGATATCATGCCAGATTCCGACTCAAGGTCAAGCTCCTCATCTTCCTCTTTCTGCCCTTATCTTCAAACGCTCCCCAGCCAGAGCTCTGCGCTGGGCCAGGCTGACATTCCTCAGACCGGCCCGGCTTCCTGCCTCTGCCCCGTCTTCACATGCAGACCCCCCTGTGGAATGTCCGCCCCCATCCATGCCACCCCTTTCAAGTTGCCCTTCGTGGGCCTCTCTCTTCGTGAAGTCTTTCATCTCCAGCCCCGAGGCCAAGCGAGCCCGGCCCCTCGCGCCCCTGCTGCCCTGATGTGGTTCCTTCCCACGGGAGTCCCGGCTCCCAGGAGAATCAAGGTTCTCCGGCCTCCGTGGATGTCATCCTTGATCAGCTGTAACTAACATCCGTTGGATGAAATACAAAAACTTTGTTCCAACGAGACTTCCATTGACTTTTTTTCCCCCGCTGCTGTTTCCAGAAAAAGTGTTTCCATAAGAACAGCAAGGAAATCTGCACATCTGGGGACACTTGAATCTGGGGACACTTGAGTCTTAATTGAGGCCCTAAACAGGAGTTTTCCAATGCCAGTGAACACTCAGACCAGAATATTTGACCTGGCATGTGAACGTGGGACGTTGCTTCTGCCCGTGGCACACGGACAGGCATCATGGGTGTGGAGTCATTTGTTCTCGTGTGCCCGTCTCTTTGTAAAGGGACTTTTCTTCTGAGCTACAGCGAGCGGCACTGAGAACTTTGCCCGGTGGCTCTGGGACAGGACTGCCCTGTTTGTGGCTCCCGCGTGCTGCAGATGTCAGGCACTTCCCTCTGCCAGCGGCAATGCCAAGCGCTCTCTTGACTACAAGGCAGGGGACGGTGACAGAACGATCCTGAGTGTCTGTAATGTGTGATACACTGTACAGTCCTGGCAGGCAGAGTCAGTAAGTATCCTGTGAGACTAGAGCCAACTTCAGGTTTGCTCTCTACCAAGTTCAAGCCTAATTAATTCTTCCTAATGGGAGAAGTTTGATGGGGTCAAGAGTACAGACTGGAGGTTTTCAAAACGTCTTCTTTTACAACTGTTTTCTCCATGAGCACAATAAACGTCAAACAGACAGTTTGTCTTGGCGAGGAAGCCAGGCGGGGAGAATTCCCCAGCTTCTGTGTCTCCCAAGCCCAGAGCCGTCTTTGCTGGGAATGTAGGTAGAGTGTGGTTGGGACGGCGCAGGTGGACACTTCAGGGTGCGGTCTTCACTGGTGCAGGAGGAGCTTGGGAAGTCTTTGCGGATGAGGGGAAGCAACACAATGTCATCAGGCTTCGATGCCAGCGCTTGGAGACAGTCTTGCAGAACTTGTGCATCCAGGGGTTTGTGGGAACGAGACTGAAAAACCCACCGGGTCATGGCTGAGTCACACGGGTTGCCTCCAGGACGTCCTGCCTTGGAAAGCTGTCCTAAGGCCCTTGCAAGTTCCTTGGTCATAGTTGTCTTGCCTGAAGAGTTTTCTTGTGAAGCTGAAATTCAGAGAGGCATCATCGCAAGGAGAGGGACGCACGTACATGTGCTACCCTCGCTTCTTGCCAGCTCTGCGCGTGTTTGCTTGTTTGGGCTTTTGTGACTCTCACCCCCTCTTTGTTCACTTCTTGCACCTTCACCCACCCGTCGTCTTCCAGGTTTCTCCGTGTTGGGGCCCCAGGGTTCTGTTCTCAGCTCTTGGTGGGTCTGTTTTCTGTGTAGGACGCCTCCATCCCCGTCCCTCCAGTTTTTAAATTCCTTCCGCTGCTGGTCACCCCGTGAGCAGGCCACTTCTCCCCGGGTCCCCTCCCCTCCCCTCCCCTCAGGCAGCCGCCCACCGACCCTCCGCCTGGACGGCCCTTTGGCCTCCCACCTGGGGCGCGCCAAAACGGAAACTCCCCACCACGTAACCTTCACGTTGGCCACGTGTGGCTGAGTGTGTAATCTTGGTGAGGTGGAAACTTACTTACGATCTTTTATCATGTCGGGATAAAAGTTGTCTAGACTTTGAAACCGGTTGTTGACCGAATGGTTCGCTTCATAGTTTAGCTAGGAGTGCTCATTTTGTTTATGCCGTGGACTTGCAATGAATAATTGCTTTATTAACCTAAGAAAAGTTCAGCTGTCCTTGGGATCGGGCGGAGACTTAAGGAAAGTACCACGTGGTTTCAGAGCTGAGCCTGTAAGTTGCCTCGTTTCCAGCTTTGTAACTACCAGAGGAGAAACATATATGGCTTTAGTGCTTTGTGAGGTTCGGAACGGACTTTTAGGTTAGTCCTGGCAAACAGAGCAGGGAACTTCCTAACCTGTACACCTCTGTGCCTATAAGCATTCATCTTTTTCACTAGTTTTCCTAGCAGTTTGTAAAAATAATGGCTTTTCGGTGTGAAACGGGGGTTGGCAACTTTTTTTTAATAACAAGCCAAGTAGTAAATATTTTTGGCTTTGTGGGTCAGACTATTCTATTCTCTCCTGTAGCAGTGTATAAACAAATAGCTCTGGTTTTTATTTACAAAAAAAAAAAAGCAGCTGGCTGGATTTGACTCATGGGCCACAGTTTGCCAAGCGCTAGTACAGAAAGCAGGTTGGTTAATCGATGGATTATTTGATGCTGAGTTGGATTATTACTGTATAGGGAAGACGAGGGTGAGGATTTAAAGATTAAGATTCCTCAGGATAAAAATCATAAAATGCTTTAAAGGAGTCAGTCAATACACATTCATACGTACGTGTTTAACACTGAGTAGGGAGTATTTTACATACCCGGCGTGGTATAATAATCTAGGACTGTAATGAAAGGAATCAGATACTAAGTGTCAGCGAGGATGTGGAGAAACTGGAGCCCTCGGATGCAGAATGTAAAATGGTGCAGCTGCTTTAGAAGGCAGTCTGGCAGGTCCTCATAATGTTCGCCGTAGCTTCCGTACGACCCTGCCATTCCACTCCTAGGTGTACACCCAAGGGAAATGAAGATGCACGCGCAAGCACAAACTTGTACACCAGTGCTCACGGCAGCATTAGCAGCCAAAAAGGAAAAACAGCTTCAATACCCGTCACCGATGAACGGATAAATAAAATGTGGTCGGTCCACACAATGGAGCTTCCTTCAGCCATAAAAACGAATGAAGCTCTGACACAGGCTACGACATGGATGCACCTTGAAAACCTGAGTGAAAGAAGCCAGACACAGAAGGCCACCTATTGTATGATTTTGTTTATATGGAATATCCAGGATAGGCAAACCCTAGACGCAGAGAGCAGACGCATGGTTGCCAGGGGCTGGAAGCATCGGGAAGTGACCGCTGACAGGCACGAACGAGGTTTCTTCTGGGGTTAGGAAACCGTTCTAAAATGGGTGGGGGTGGTGGCTGGACAACTCTGTGAATATACTAACAAGCCACTCATTTATCTTTATATGGGTGAATTGTGTGCTATCTGAATTATATCTAAATACGGCTGTTACGGAAATAACTAGGTGCAGGATTAATCTATGAGAAATAACTAGTAAATAATAATTAAAAAAAAATCCATCATTATTTTTTGGAGGAAGGAGATCCAGAAGGTGAATCGGTATTTCTGGCTCTGCGATTTCTGGTGTGTTTCTGAGAGCTCGTGCGCTTTCCCGCCCCTCCGTGAATGGTAGACCTTGCGGAGGCAGACCAGGTGGGGGATGCATCCCTGGTCTCCCGCTGGGAATCAGGGCCCAGGTGGATCCCTTCACCCCTGGGTTGTCCTGAAGCCAGTCTGAGAAAACCTGTGGGTGGCATGTGTCACGGGCATGTTGTATTCCTGGCCAAGTCCTGGGGACTTGTTTGCTTGTTCAAGAGGCTCACAGGACACACTTCTGTGTTGCAGATCGAAGAAGGAAGCAAAGCTGCGGCAGTGGACAAGTTGTTGGCTGGAGATGAGATCGTTGGCATCAACGACATCAGTCTGTCGGGGTTTAGACAGGAAGCGATTTGCCTGGTGAAGGGGTCGCATAAGACCCTGAAGCTGGTGGTGAAAAGGTAAGACCTGGGCCTCGTGCCTTGTTTACAAAGAGAGATGAGCGGGGCAGTGAAACCTGGAGTCTGTTGGCTGCGCCGTGTCACTGTGGCAATCGTGATTTGGACTTAAGTCGCGCACGCGTGTGTGTGTACGTGCATGTACACTTAAGAATCTATCTCTTGGCCAAGGATGAATCCAACATCAAAAATTTTAAACATTCTTTCTTTTCTTAAAATTAATTTTTATTGGAGTATAGTTGATTTACAGTGTTGTGTTAGTTTCTGCTATACAGCAAAATGAATCAGCTATACATATACAGATGTCCACTCTTTTTTAGATTCTATTCCCATGTAGGTCATTACAAAGTTGTTGTTGTTGGGTTTTTTTCCAATAGTTGTTTATCTTGGCTGCGCTGGGTCTTAGTTGTGGCACTCAGGGTCTTCATTGCAGCACGTGGCATCTTTAGTTGCGGCACGTGGACTTGTAGTTGTGGCGTGCATTCAGGATCTAGTTCCCCAGCCAGAGATCGAACACAGGCCCCCTGCATTGGGAGCGTGCAGTCTTGCCCACTGGACCACCAGGGAAGTCCCTACAAAGTATCGAGTAGAGTTCCCTGTGCTATACAGTAGGTTCTTAAAAGATTTCTTCTTTTACTACTGTTGACTGTTAATTTTGACGTAAGGGATTTTGAATACTGAAATCTTATTCTTGGCGACATGTTGGTGGTTTTCTGGCAGTGAGGCAACGGCTTTTGCTCCAAATGATGAAATGTCATTGCCTGTGTTTCACACAAGGTGGCGGGCTCCCAGGTTTTGGGGGTTTATGCTAAAATGTGATGCATATAGACTTACAGGTCAGCTAGCAGGTGTTTCCAGTGCTGTGCTGAGGTCTGAGGGGAGCAAGTGCATATTCCGAGAAAGGAGATTGTGGATAGGAGTTGGGATGATTTGAAGGGGTCAGAAAGTGAAGTTGGGCACGTGATGCTTTTACACACAGGCACTAGAACGGTACTACGGGGCAGCATGGAGGTGTTTTGTGACTTTCTTTTTTGTTTTTGGCCACGCTGCACAGCTTGTGGGAACCTTAGTTCCCCAACCAGGGACCAGGAATTGAACCTGTGCCCCCTGAAGTGGAAGTGCTGAGTCTTAACCCCTGGACTGCCAGGGAATTCCGGTGACTGGTTTCATATAGAAATAATTCTCCACCTTGTGTTCTCCAGTTGGCTAATTCATAGTAAAGTGTTGACGTGCCCCTTTTAGCAGAATTAGTGCAGTCTTTCCAAGGTTGGCTGTAAATTTTATTTTACTTTTTAAAAATTTATTTATTTATTTACTGTTTATTTTTGGTTGCATTGGGTCTTTGTTGCTGTGTGCGGGCTTTCTCTAGTTGCGGCGAGCAGGGGCTACTCTTCGTTGCAGTGCATGGGCTTCTCACTGTGGTGGCTTCTCTTGCTGCAGAGCATGGAGCCTAGGCGCGCGGGCTTCAGTAGTTGTGGCACACAGGCTTCAGCAGTTGTGGCTCGCGGGCTCTAGAGCACAGGCTCAGTAGCTGTGGCACACAGGCTTAGTTGCTCCGCGGCATGTGGGATCTTCCCGGACCAGGGCTCGAACCCGTGTCCCCTGCATTGGCAGGCGGATTCTTAACCACTGCGCCACCAGGGAAGCCTGGCTGTATATTTTAAAAAGTAAATTGACTCAAGGCCTTCAGTTTCTAGTACAGACTTGAAGACATATCCCTGTGGACTTTTTATGTATTTATTTTTGGGGGACCAAAATAGCATCCAAGGAGGAGGTTCAGAAACGAAGAAGGAAAAAATTTCATCCTTTGCCACATTAATGTAGCAGCCTCATTTCTCAGTGGAATAGGCTGTCCTCCTTGTAAATCAGAAAACTGAAGTCTCAGAATGGCCATTTTGGAGACTTCTGGGGGAGCAAGGGACAGGACGGGTGCCATCATGGTGTATAATTTCTTTGAGGTCACCTTATTAAGCCTAAGGCAGGACGTGTGAAGTTCTCACAGGATTCCGTTAGACTTGGTGGAGCGCTGGTGATGGTGAGGGACACTTGACCCACACAGGGGAGACAGCGGTTATAAACCACCACCTGAAATGTCTCCTTTGCGGGGCTGCCCGAGCCCCCAGAACACACAGACGGCTCGTTGGCTTACTGTCCATCTCCCCCCACTGGGAAAACACTGGCTTAGTTGACGCGGTGAGCAAACTGTCTCGCCAGTTTGCGGCTCCTTATTGCAGTGCCCGATGCGCAAGGGCAAATGAAGGGCTTGGACTTACTGAATCGAATTGATTTGAACTGCACCGAGTCGGGCATCATTGGAGGGCCTCATGGGGATGCTGACACTGAGGTGCTCATTCAGTAAAACCTGTCAGTGTGACATCGGCCAGCCCAGGGGAGGCAGCAGCGAATAAAACCGAGCCAGTGACACATCCTGGGGGACGGAATCAGGATGCGTGAATATTTTCACCGGTTGCATCTCACAAGGTAAAAATTAAATGTTGGTCTATGTCAGATCTTATTCTAGGGTCCAAAAAAAGAAAAAGCAGGTGTGTAATAAAGTTGGTGTAGTAACAACAGCTATAAAGAAGGGAATTTGCACCCCAGTAGAAAGTTGGATGAAAGACGCTCATAGGCAGTTTCTAATATGAGAAATGCACATAGGAAACAAGTGTTTAAAAAGACGTTTAACTAGGGATCGACAAGTTTACTTACAAACTAGGTTTTGATTCTCCAGCTGGCCGAGATCTAATGGAATAGCAATGCCCGTTGGTGCTGAGTTGTGGGGAAACAAGGGCTTATTTGATGTAATGCTGGTGAGACTTTCTGGTAAGCGGTTTGGCAACATGTGTCAAAAGGCCTATTTTGGACTCAGAATTTCATTTCTTGGATCCTAGATATTCAGCAAAAGGAAATGACTGAAGTGAATTAGGGACCATCCATACTGCAGAGTGCTGCCATTATAAATGGTGTCAGCCAAATGAACTTATCTACGAAACAGAAACAGACTCCCAGACACAGAGCACAGACTGGTGGTTGCCAAAGGCAGGTGGGGGGTGGAGGAGGGATGCATTGGGAGGTTGGGATTAGCAGATGCAAACTATTATATATGGAATGGGTAAACAACAGGGTCCTACTGTAGAGCACAGGGAACTCTAGTCGGCAGCCTGTGACAGACCGTAATGGAATAGAATATGAAAATATATATATATGTGTGTATAACTGAGTCTCTGCTGTACAGCAGAAATTAACACATTATCAATCTGTACGTCAATAAAAGTTTTTAAAAAGAATACAAGTGCTACTACAAAATTAAAAAAGGGTGTCAGTGGGCTTCCCTGGTGGCACAGTGGTTAAGAATCCGCCTGCCAATGCGAGGGACACGGGTTCGAGCCCTGGTCTGGGAAGAATCCCACATGCCGCGCGGAGCAACTAAGCCCGTGTGCCACAGCTACTGAGCCTGCGCGCTAGAGCCCGCGAGCCACGACTACTGGAGCCTGCACGCCTAGAGCCTGTGCTTTGCAACGGGAGAGGCCACCGCGGTGAGAAGCCCGCGCACCGCAGAGGGGACTGAGAAAGCCCGCACGCAGCGATGAAGACCCAACACAGCCGAAAATAAATAAATTTATGGGAAAAACAAAATGGTGTCAGTATTTCGTGACATGGAAAGATGCCCTTCAAAGTCCAGTTGAGTGGAACACATACAAGCAGTTATAGAACTGTGTAGGCCCCATGAAAAAAAGTTTTAATTTTTAATTGTCGTAAAATACACATAACAAAACTTACCATCTTATCCATTAAGTGCACACTCTAAGTGTATTATTTCTCTGATGGTAAAAATGTCGAGCTCGTTGCACTTTTAAAGAGGAGAGGCCTTTGGGGTTCCGTGTGATGTGTTCACAGGACTCAGCAGGAGGTTTGGTCCCCAGGAAGCGGTCAGCTGTGCTCTGTTCTGGGAGGTGCCCCTAGGAGGCTCTGTTTATTGCTCTGTGATCAAGACAGACAGGATCACCCTAAGGGGTGGGTGTTGGAATGCCGGCTACAGTTACTCCAAGAGTGACTTTTTATTCCGCATTTATGAGTACTCAGAGTACCCCGTGGGCGTGGGACAACATTCACTTAGGAACGGGAACTGGGTGGGATACATCAGCCTTTCTCCCAAGCCCTCTCATCTTCCCATTTTGCCGCTCCGGAGAGCGGCCGTGTCAGTACTCATCTCTTAGGTTTCCTTTTAGAAGCAGGTACCTCCTTATGTGTTACACGTGAAAATGGGGGTTGGTCCAGGGTGAGTGCTCTGAGTCGAGATTTCTCCTGACCCCGTGCGGCTCCACCGTCTGGATACTCTGCTGTGTGTCTAGCAGGTCCTCTGTGTGTGGACATTTACGGTGCTTCCGGGGTACAGCAGACGGTGCTGCGGTGTGATGCTTTAGCACCCGAGACCGCATACATGTGCGTATAGGCCGTCCTGATCCATTCCTAGCGTGGGAGGTTTTGAGGCAGAAAGTACCGTGCATCGTGAAGTCTGTTTTTGTTGCCTTTGTGGATGTGATAGGTGACCGATGCTTTTACCGTTTAAATGGGCATTTCTGTCATTATGACCGAGGTTGGGCATCATTCCATGTGTTCAGAAGCTTTTTTTTTTTTTTTTGAATTCGAGGAACATAGTTAAGGATCTAAAAACCGGATGATGTGAGTTCTGTGCGGAGTACCCACCATGAGAACTGGGGGTAGAAGGAGAGAGAAGGCCTGGGGGCCTGGCCCGTTCGCCGTGGAGCTGACTGCCTATCCAACAGACTTGTGGGGAGACCGATCATACTTTGGCTGTGAATGGTTGATGGGAGCCCTGGTGTAGAATCCCACTTTTGTAATCCGCATACCCGGTTTCCCTTTAAGTGAGGGGTGTGCAGGATGATTATCTAGTTTAGATAGAGCTTAATATTCTAAGTAACACATACAACCCAATATAAAACCAAACCAAGCAGTTTGTCCAAATGTTTTTTTTTTCAAAC